CCAGAGATACAGCTTAATGGTGTAACGTTAGAAAACGTTGACCATTTCCATTGCCTTGGCAGCCCCCTCTCCACCAAAGTCAACATTGACACTGAAATACAACACCGCCTGAGCTCTGCAAGTGCAGCATTTTTCCAAATGAAGCAGAGAGTGTTTGAGGACCGGGACCATCTATCTCCCTATCTTTCAATTATCATTCTTTTTTCCCATCTATTCTATCCCATCCATCCATTAAATCTATCCTTCTTTCTCTTTCAATCATGTCTTATCATTCTTTCTTTCTTTCCATCCTGTTGATCTATCTTTTCCTTCTTTCTCTTTCAATCCTATCTATCTATCTATCTATCTATCTATCTATCTATCTATCTATCTATCCTTTCTCTTTCAGTCGTATCTTATCCATCATTCTTTCTTTCCACCCTATCTATCATTTCCTTCTTTCTCTTTCCATCCTTCCTTCCAATCGTATCTTATTTATCATTCTTATTTATCATTATTTATCCTATCTATCTATCTATCTATCTATCTATCTATCTATCTATCTATCTATCTATCTATCTAATCTATTTCCTTCTTTCTCTTTCCATCCTATCTATCTATCTATCCATCCTTCTTTCTCTTTCAGTCGTATCTTATCCATCATTCTTTCTTTCCACCCTATCATTTCCTTCTTTCTCTTTCTTTCCTTCCTTCCTTCCTTCCTTCCTTTCAATCGTATCTTATTTATCATTCTTTCTTTCCACCCATCCTATCTATCTTTCATTCCTACTTTCTCTTTTCATCCTTCCTTTTCAACCAATCAGTCGTATCTTATTCTTATTATTTATTCATCCATCCATCCATCCAATCTATCTATCCTTCTTTCTCTTTCAATTGTATCTTATCCATCATTCATTCTTTCTTTCCACCCTCTTTCATTTCCTTCTTTCTCTTTCCATCCTTCCTTTCAATTGTATCTTATCTATCATTCTTTCTTTCCATCTATCCTTTCTTTCTTTCTTTTTCAGTCATATCTATCATTTTTTCTTTTCATCCTGTCAATCTATCTTTTCCTTCTTTCTCTTTACATCTTATTATCTATCTATCTATCTATCTATCTATCTATCTATCTATCTATCTATCTTCCTTTCTTTCAATCAATCGTACCTTATCTATCAATCTTTTTTTCCATCCTATCTATATTTCTTTCTATTGTATCTTATTTATCATTCTTTCTTTCCATCTATCCTTTCTTTCTCTTTCAATCATATATATCATCCTTTCTTTCCATCCTGTCGATCTCTTTTCCTTCTTTCTCTTTCCATCCTACCTACCTATCTATCCTCCTTCCTTTCAATCATATCTTATTTATCATTCTTTCTTTCCATCCATCCTATCTATCTTTCATTTCCTTCTTTCTCTTTCCATCCTTCCTTCCTTCAAACTGTCTTATATATCATTCTTATTTATCATTATTTATCCATCCTATCTATCTATCATTTCCTTCTTTCTCTTTACATCCTATCTCTCTCTCTATCTTCCATCTTTCAATTAATTGAATCTTATCTATTATTCTTTCCATCCTATCTATCCATCCATCCATCCTTCTTTCTATTTCAATCGTATCTTATCTTTCATTCTTTCTTTCCTTCCTATCGATCAATCTATTATTTCCTTCTTTCTCTTTCCATCCTATCTGTCTATCTGTCTGTCTGTCTATCTGTCTGTCTGTCTATCTATCTATCATTTCCTCCTCTCTCTTTCCATCCTATCTCTCCATCTAGTATTTCTGTCCTTCCACTCTTACTTTCCATCCTATCGATCAATCTATCATTTCCTTCTTTCTCTTTCCATCCTACCTACCTACCTATCTACCCATCCATCCTTCTTTCTCTTTCAATCGTATCTTATCATTCTTTCTTTCCATCCTATCTATCTATCTATCTATCTATCTATCTATCTATCTTTCAATTGTAGCTTATTATTCTTATCTATCTATCTATCTATCTATCTATCCATCCTTCTTTCTCTTTCAATCGTATCTTATCTTTCATTCTTTCTTTCCTTCCTATCAATCAATCTATTATTTCCTTCTTTCTCTTTCCATCCTATCTATCTATCTATCTATCTATCTATCTATCTATCTATCTATCTATCTATCTATCTATCTATCCATCCATCCATCCATCCATCCATCCTTCTTTCTCTTTCAATCGTATCTTATCTTTCATTCTTTCTTTCCTTCCTATCAATCAATCTATTATTTCCTTCTTTTGCTTTCCATCCTATCTATCTATCTATCTATCTATCTATCTATCTATCTATCTATCTATCTATCTATCTATCTATCTATCTATCTATCTATCTATCTATCTATCTATCCTTCTTTCTCTTTCAATCGTATCTTATCTATAATTCTTACTTTCCATCCTATCCATCAATCATTTCCTTCTTTCTCTTTCCATCCTATCTATCTATCTATCTATCTATCCATCCATCCATCCATCCACCCTTCTTTCTCTTTCAATCGTATCTTGTCTATCATTCTTTCCATCGTATCTATCATTTCCTTCTCTCTTTTTCCATCTTATCTATCTCTCCATCTAGTATTTCTATCTTCTCTCTCTCTCTCCATCTTTTCTATCTATCTCTCCATCTAATCTGTTGTGGGGTCCGTTCCGGGTCCGAGTCCGAACTGTGTTCATCCAAATCGAGTGTGTGTGTGTGTGTGTGTGTGACATTATTCCCTTCCCTCCCCTTCAACCCCACGGGGACCCTTCCCGCGCTTCGGAGCGTGAGATGCGATTAGGGCCGGCCCTGGTGATTTTCCGCCTGCCGAACGGCCCAGCTGCGGCCCAAAAGGAGGGAAGGAAAGAAAGAAAGAACGAGAAAATACGCCAAAAAAAGAGAAGGAAAGACGCGGAAAACGGTCTTACGTCATCGCTTTTATAGATAGATATATAATATGTATATAAATATATAAACAAGAGCAGCAATCGTCCAAATCAACTCTCGGGGGGAGACAAAAGTGCAAAAGAAGGATTGCAAGCCAATCGATCAATCACATTATTCCCAAACAATAATAATAATAAATATAATCAATAAATATAAATAAATAACAGTTCACGGCATAATAAATTATCTTAGGAGCGATTTATCGTACGGGATTGACATCTAGTCGTTCTCATGGGGTTATGAGGAAATAATACTGGGTAAGGGGGATGTTGGACTACAACTCCTATTATCCCCCACCCAAAGGGGTAATAAATAATATTAATATTATTTAGTAATATTAATTAGTTATTAATTAGTAATAATAATAATTTGCAGTCAATGTTATCTCATAGGGTTATGAGGAAATAATATGGGTGCGGGGGGGGGGGATGTTGGACTACAACTCCCATTATCCCCACCCAAAGGGGTAATAAATAATATTATTTAGTAATATTAATTAGTTATTAATTAGTAATAATATGGGGTGCGGGGGGTGTTGGACTACAACTCCCATTATCCCCCACCCAAAGGGGTAGTAAATAATATTAATATTATTAGTAATAATAATTGATATTAATATTAGTAATAATTTGCAAGCCTAAGCCCCCTCCAAGCTATAAAGGCTCCGAACTATAAACGCCAAGGTCACGTACTACAAATCCCATCATTCCATACTATAAAATGGGATCGTAATGCTCTGCATAGGGAGCCATTGCAGTTAAAGAGGGACGAATCCTGTACAACTGTGCAATGCGGACAGAAATATATCTGCATATATATACACACACATACAGAGAAAAAAGTCTTACAAGGAGTCTGAAGGGGAACCCCAAAGGTCATCTAGTCCAAGATCTTGAGTAGACATCATTGGTATAGATGTATGTATAGATAAGATATAGATATATAATATATATCCTAGTATCATTGATGTATTTCCATTCTCGAAAGGCAGAAACATTACTTTTCAGGGATCGTAAGAGCTGGAAAGGGCACCCAAAGGTCATCCAGTCTGACCAATGGAGGATCAGAATCATGAGTTGGAAGGGGCACCCAAAGGTCATCTAGTCTGACCAATGGAGGATTGGACTCCACTAACAGAATCATGAGTTGGATGGGGAGTTGGATTGGGCACCCAAAGGTCATCCAGACTGACCAAAGGAGGATCGGACTCTGCTTGGAGAATCATGAGTTGGATGGGGCACCCAAAGGTCATCCAGACCGACCAATGGAGGATCGGATTCTGCTTGCAGATCATGAGTTGGATGGGGCACCCAAAGGTCATCCAGACCAACCAATGGAGGATCAGACTCCACTTGCAGAACCTTAAGAGTTGGGATGGTCACCTGAAGGCCACCGAGTCTGAGCAATGGGATGGCCCAACGTCACTGTGTAGAAGGTGTAGAGTCCTAAGGGGCACCCAAAGGTCATCTAGTCCAACATCTTGAGTAGACATCATTGGTATAGATGTATAGATAGATAGGTAGATATATGTATCAAGATATTCTTGATGTATTTCCATTCTCAAAAGGCGGAAACATTACTTTTCAGGGATCGTAAGAGTTGGAAGGGGCACCCCAGAGGTCATCTAGTCCAACCTCTTCAGCAGAAGCCATCCATATATATATATATATATATATATATATATATATATATATATATAGAGAGAGAGAGAGAGAGAGAGAGAGAGAGAGAGAGTATTGTTGATGTATTTCCATTCTCATTTATGTATTTCCACTCTTGAAAGGCGGAAATATTACTTTTCAGGGATCGTAAGAGTTGGAAGGGGCACCCCAGAGGTCATCTAGTCTGACCAACGAGAAGACGACTCCAGCTGTTTGATCCCAAAGAGGGTCCAGCATTGATTTCTGGAGTCTACAGAGCTGGAAGGGGCACCCAAAGGTCATCTAGTCTGACCCATGGAGGATTAGACTCCACTAACAGAATCATGAGTTGGATGGGGAGTTGGATGGGGCACCCAAGGTCATCCAGACCAACCAATGGAGGATCGGACTCTGCTTGCAGAATCAAGGGTTGGATGGGGCACCCAAAGGTCATCCAGTCTGACCAATGGAGGATCAGACTCCACTTGCAGAATCATGAGTTGTGTGGGACACCCAAAGGTCATTCAGTCTGACCAACGGGGGATTGGACTCCACTTGCAGAACCGTAAGAGTTGGAATGGTCACCTGAAGGCCACCGAGTCTGAGCAATGGGAGGACCCAACGTCACTGTGTAGAAAGTGTAGAGTCCTAAGGGGCACCCAAAGGTCATCTAGTCCGGTTGATGGAGAGCTGACCATCTCAAAGGAGCCAAAAGGGACATCCAAAAGTCATCTAGTCTGGCCAATAGGGGAGTTGACCACAGCTCTTTGATCCCAAAGAAGGTCCAACATCAGTATGTTCAGAAGGGACACCCAAAGGTCATCTAGTCTGACCAATGGGGGTCAAGCATGGGTTAGCTGAACCCTAAGTCTTGGAAGAGGCACCCAATGGTCATCGACTCTGATCAAAGGGGAGGCCAATGTCAGTTTGTAGAGTCATAAGGGGCACGCAAAGGTCATCTAGTCTTGTTGATAGGGAGTTGACCATCTCGACGGGGCACCCAAAGATCATCCAGTCTGGCCAATGGGGAGATGACCGCAGCACTTGGATCCCAAAGAGGGTCAACGTCAGTTTGTAGAGCCATAAGTGTCAAAAGGGGCACCCAGAGGTCATCTAGTCTTGCTGATAGGGAGTTGACCATCTCGATGGCGCACCCAAAGATGATCCAGTCTGGCCAATGGGGAGATGACCGCAGCTCTTTGATCCCAAAGAGGGTCAACATCAGTTTGTAGAGCCATAAGTGTGAGAAGGGGCACCCAAAGGTCATCCAGTCTGACCAATGAGGGATCAAGATCTGTTTGTAGAATCATAAGAGTTGGGGCACTGAAAGGTCATCTACTCCAATACCGGTTTGCAGAGCCATAAGTGTTGGAGGGGAGTACCGAAAGGCCATCCAGTCCACCCCCGTGGTGCGCTGAGGGGTCAGACGTCCAGGACGTGGTTGAGGTAGGAGATGTAGCAGATGGCCAGGCGCAGGATCTCGATCTTGGAGAGCTTCTTGTCGGGGGGCAGCGTGGGCAGCAGCTTGCGCAGCTCAGCAAAGGCCATGTTGAAGGCCTCGACCCGGATGCGCTCCCGAGTGGCGTGGGCCGTGCGGTACTTGGCCGTGGCTCGGCGGCGACGGCGGCGCTCCTCCCGGCTCAAGGGCGGCAGCTCCTTCTTGGCCTCCGTGACCTCCGGGTGGAGGCACAAGGGAGGCGGGGCCTCCTCCGCAGGGGTCCCCCCACGCCCACAGCTCCCTAAGGGGCCTTCCACCTCCGAGTGGCGCCCGGGAAGACCCGCCTCCACAGGGTCAGCGTTCAGCATCATGGCGCCCGAACAGGGACACGAGGAAAGGGAGGAGGGAGAAAGTCAAGGGAAGGTCAACTATGGAGAAGGTCTGGACAAGATGGAGGCAAGGGGAGTCAATGGAGAGTTGAAGGAAGGAATATTGTTCAAGATGGAGGCAAGAAGGTCAACAGGAAGTCAATTCGATTAGGATAAGATGGAGACAACTCAACAAGAAGTCAACTATATGAGATGGAGACGGGGAAGTCAATGATAAGTCAACTATGGAGAAAGTTTGGACAAGATGGAGGCAGAGAGGTCAATGGGAAGTCAATTAGATTTGGACAAGATGGAGGCAACCCAACAGGAAGTCAACTATACAAGATGGAGATGGGCAAGTCAATGATAAGTCAATTACGGTGAAGGTTTGGACAAGATGAAGGCAGGAAAGTCAATGGGAAGTCAATTAGACTTGGACAAGATGGAAGCAACTCAACAGGAAGTCAACTGATGAAGACGTAAACAAGATATAGGCAATACAAGGCCAACTATGGAGAAGATTTGGGCAAGATGGAGGCAGGAAAGTCAATGGAGGGTCAACTATACTCGGACAAGATGGAGGCAACTCAACAGGAAGTCAACTAAACAAGATGGGAGGCAAGGGAAGTCAATTGGAAGTCAATTATAGAGAAGACTTGGGATAAGTTGGAGGCAGAGAAAGTCAATGGAGAAGGTCTGGACAAGATGGAGGCAAGGGGCGTCAATGGAGACTTGAAGGAAGGAATATTGGACAAGGTCAACAGGAAGTCAATTAGATTTGGACAAGTTGAAGGTAACTCAATAGGAAACCAACTGATGGAGACGTAAACAAGATGGAGGCAATAAAAGGCCAACTATGGAGGAGACTTGGGCAAGATGGAGGCCAGAAGGTCAACGGAGAAGTCAACTGATGAAGACCTAAACAAGATGGAGGCAAGGGAAGTCAATTATAGAGGCGACTTGGACAAGATGGAGACAAGAAAAGTCAATGGAGGGTCAAAGGAAGAAGGACTGGACAAGATGGAGGCAACCCAACAGGAAGTCAATTAAACAAGATGGAGGCAAGAAAGGTCAATGGGGGATCAAAGGAAGATGGAGGCAGGAAAGTCAATGAAAGGTCAACTATGGAGATGGTTTGGACAAGATGAAGGCAAGAAGGTCAATGAGAAGTCAACGATGGAGAAAGTTTGGACAAGATGGAGGAAGGAAAGTCAATGGGAAGTCATTAGACTTGGACAAGATGGAGGCAACTCAACAGGAAGTCAACTAAACAAGATGGAGGCAAGAGAAGTCAACGGAGGGTCAACTATGGAGACAATTTGGGCAAGGTGGAGGCAAGAAGGTCAAGGAGAAGTCAACTATGGAGACAGTATGGACAAGATGGAGACAAGGAAAGTAGACAGGAGGTCAATTGATGGGCTTATTATTATTATTAGATGATGATGATGATGGTGGTGGTGGTGATGGAAAGCAAGGAAACTCAATGGAGGGAAAAGATGTCAACAGAATGGAGACAAGAAGAGCAGAGAGAAGCTCAAAAATGGTGGAAAGGGAAGCGAAGAGGAAGATTTGGGGCAATTGGTGGTCAAAGGAAGGATGGACGGAGAGACGGAAGGAGGTGCTGCGGTTGTCTGTCTTCAAGGGCAGGAAGCCAAGTGACCCTCCATGTTGCATCCAACGATGCCTTCAGATCCTAGAAAGGTCCAGAGAGAAGGAGAAGAAGGGACACAAAAGAGAGAGAGAGAAAAAACATTAATAGACGGGATAGATAGGAAGTAATATAAAACTGGAGGGAAGGAAGGAAGGAAGGAAGGAAAGGAGGGAGAGAGGAAAAGGACAAAAGGAAAGGGAAGAAAAGAAAAAAGGAAGGGGATAAGAGGAAAATTGGAGTGGAGGAAAAGGAAGGAAGGGAAAAAGAAGGAGAAGAAATGAGATGAAATATTGAGGGAATGGAAAGGATAGGAAGGAGGGAAGGAAAAAAGGAAAGAAAGGAGGAAAAGGGGGAAAGGAAAGGAAAGAGTGGAGGAAAAGGAAGAGAAGAGGAAGGCAAAGCAAAGAATGGAAAAAATGAAGGAAAGGGGGAAGGAAAGATAAGAGGAAAAGAAGAGAGGAGAAGAGGAGCAAAACAGGAAAGGATGGTATGAATGGAAAGGAAGGAGGAAGAGGAAAAGACAAGAGGAAAGGAAGAAGAAGAGGATAAGAGGAAGTGGAGAAAAGATGAAAGGAAAAGTGGAGGAAAGGAGGAGAAATATTGATGAAAGGGAAAAAAAGGGGAAGGAAGGATAAGAGGAAAAAAGAGAGGAGAAGAGGAGCAAAACAGGAAAGGAAGGTAAGAAAGGAGGAAGGGGAAAAAGACAGGAGGAAAGGGAAGAATAAGATGGTTGGAGGAAAAGAGGAGGAAATGAGGAAAGGAAGGTATGAATGGAGGAAAGGAAGAAAAGGAAGAAGGAAACATAAAAGAAGAGAGGGAAAGAGGAGGAAAAGGAAGGTAGGAAAGGGGAAAAGAGGGGGGAAGCAATAGAAAGGAGAAAAAAGGGGAAAAGGGATAAGAGGAAAAGAAGAGAGGAACGATAAAAAGGAGGAAAGAGGTGAAAAGGAGGAAAAGGATAAGAGGAAAAAGGGAAGAAAATAGGAAAGGAAGATAGGAATGGAGGAAAGAGGTGGAAAGGAAGAAAAGGAAGAAAAGAATAAGAGGAATAAGAGGAAAAGAAGGGAGGAAAAGAGGAAAGGAAGATAGGAACTAAAGAAAGGAGGAAAGAGGTGGAAAGGAAGAAAAGAGGAAAAAGGGAGGAAAAGAGGAAAGGAAGATAGGAAAGGAGAAAGGAGGAAAAGAAGAAACAAAAAGAGGAGGAAAACAGGAAAACAAAGTAGGAACAGAGGGAAGGTGAAAAGAAGAGGAAAGGAGAAAAGAGGAAGCAAAGGATTAAGGAAGAATGAGAGGAAAAGAAGAAAAGAAAAGAGGAGGATGGATGAAAGGAGAAAAGGGATTAAAGGAGAAGAGGAAGAAGGGAAGGAAGGATAGAAAAGAAGGAGAGAGAGAATGGAGAAAGAGGGAAAAGGAAGAATGAGAGGAAAAGAAGAAAGTAAAAGAGAAGAAAAGGATGAAAGGAGAAAGGGGAAGAAAAGGGGATAAAAGAAAAGAAGAGAGGAAAAGAGAAAAGGAATGAAGGAAAGGAGGAAAAGGAAGAAAAGAGGAGGATTAGAGAAAAAGAAGGGAGGAAAAGAGAGGAAAGGAAGATAGGAAGGGAGGAAAGAGGTGGAAAGAAGAAAAAGTATGGAAAGGTGGAAAAGAAGGATAAGAGGATCGAAGAGAGGAAAAGAGGAAGAAAGAAGGAGACAAGCAGTGGAAAGATAAGCCGAGATCTCGAGGCAGAAGAGAGAGAGAAAGGTAGGAAAAAGAAGAGAAGAAAAGAAGTGAAAGAGACAGACAAAAACGGAGGAGAGAAACAGACCGGAAAGAAAGGAAAAGTGCAGCTTGAAGGGAGAGATAGAAAGAGAAAGGGGGGAAAGAAGGAGGAGAAGAAGGATGAGCAACAGAAGGGAAGCAGATGTTGGAGGGTCAAAACAGCCCCCGGGGAGAAAAGAGAAAGAGGGAACGAGAGAGAAAGAGGGACGGAGGGAGAAACCCTGGGGGAAAGCCGCGCTGTGCCTTCTGGCAGCTGGTGGATGGAGGGATGGAGGAGGAGGAGAGAAGGAGGGAAAGGAAGGAAGGAAGGAAGGAAGGAAGGAAGGAAGGAAGGAAGGAAGAGTGTGAAAGGGGCCCATATGCCAGGACAGATGGGAGCCCCCTCCCCTCCTCCCTCGGCAGACAGAGCAGATGGGAACGAAGGGGATGGAGGGGAGCCAAGGCACTAGTCCTCAATGAGGGAGAGAAGGAGGGAGAAGGCAGAGGAGGAAGGAGAGAAGAGAAGGGGAAAGAAGGGAAGGGAAAGAAGGGGAGACAAATGGAGAGAGAGGGAAAAGGAAGAAGGGAAGAAGAGAAGGGAAGAGGAAGGAAGGGTAGAAAAGAAGGAGAGAAAGAATGGAGAGAGAGGGAAAAGGAAGAGGATAGGAAAAGAAGGAAGGGAGAAAAAGAAGAGAGGGGGAAAGAAGGGAAAGGAAGAAGGGAAGGAGGAGGAGGAAGAAAAAAAGGAGGAAGAAAGGAGAGAGAGAAGGAGAGAGAGAAGGAGGAAGAAGAAGGAAGAAGGGGAGGAAGGAAAGAAGGAGAGAGAGAAGGGGAGAGGGCAAGAAGGGGAGACAGATTGAGAGAGAGGGAAAAGGAAGAAAGAAAGAAGGGAAGGATAGAAATGGAAGAAGGAGAGAGAGAAGGGTGAGAGCGGGAAAGGAGGAAAAAGGAGAGAAGGGAGAGAAGGAAGGAAGGAAAGGAGGAGAGAAGGGGGGGAAGGAAAGGAAGAAGCAGAGAGGGAAGGGAGAGGAAGGGAAGAATAGAAATGGAAGAAGGATAGAAAGAGAGAAGAAAAGGGAGGAGAAAAAGGAGGAAAAAGAAGGAGAAAAAAGAAGGGAGAAAGAGAAAAGGAAGGAAAGAATAAGAGACGGGAAAAGGAAATGGAAGAAGGGAGGAGAGAAAGGAGAGAAGGAAGGAAGAAGGAGAAAGGAAGGAAAAAAGGGGAGAAGGGAAGAGAAGAAGGAGAGAAGGAAGGGAAGAGGAGGAAGGAAGGAAGAAAGGAAAGAGAGAAGAGAGAGAGGGAAGGAGGAAAAGAGGAGGAAGGAGAGGAGGAGGAAAAGAAGGGGAGAGAGAAGGGTGAGTGAGGGAAAAGGAAGAGAAAGAAGGAGAGGAGAAGGAGAAAGGAAGGAGAGAAAAGGAGAGAGAGGAAAAAGGAAAAAGAAGAGAAGTGTAGGGCAGAGGAAGGGCGGGAAGGAAAGATAAAAAAGGAGAGAGAGGGAAAAAGAAAAGAAAGGAGGAGAGAAGGGAAGCGAAAAAGGAAAAACAGAAAAGAAGGGAGGAGAGAAAAGAAGGAGAGAATGGACAGAGAGAGGGAAAAGGAAGAGTAAGAAGAAGGGGAGGGAAGAGGAAGGGACGGATAGAAAAGAAGGGAGGAGAGAAAAGGAGAGAGAGGATGGAGAGAGGGAAAAGCAAGAGAAGGAAGGAGAGAAGGGAAAAAAGGAGAGAGTGTAGGGAGAGGAAGGAAGGAAGGAAGGAAGGAGAGAAAGAAAGAATAAGGAGAAAGGGGAGAGAGAAAGAAGAAGGAGAGAAGTGAAGAGGAAGAGAAGGAAGGAGAGAGAATGGACAGAGAGTGGGAAAAGGAAGGGAGAAAAAGGGAGAAGGGAAGGAAATAAAACAAAAGGAAGGAGATGAGTGAAAGAGAGAAGGAGAGAACAGGAAGGAACGGAAGGGAAAGGAAGAAGGGGAAACGAAGGATGGACAGAAGGAAGGGAAAAGGAAGGAAGGAAACAGATTGAAAGGTGGAAAAAAGAATGAAGGAAGGAAAAAGAAAAAAACGAAAGGAAGGAGATAAGGAAAGGAAGGAGAGAAGCAATGGGAAGAGGAAGGAAGGAAAGGAGGAGAGAAAAAGAGGAAGGAAGAAGAGAAAGGAGGAAAGAAGAAAAGGAGGAAAGGAAGGGAAAAAGGAAGGAAGGAAGGAAGGAAAGGAGGAAGGAAGAAGGAAGGAAGAAGGAAGAAGGAGAAAGAGAAGGAAGGAGAAAAGGAGAGAAAAGGAAGAAAGGAAAAGGAAGGAAGGAAGGAAACAGAAGGAAAGAAGAAAGGAAGAAGAAAGAAGAAAAAGAGAAAGAGAAAAGAGGAAGAAAGAAGGAAGGAAAAGAAGAAGGAAAAAGGAAGGAAGGAAAGGAAGGAAGGGAAAGAGGAGAAGGAAAGAAAAAGGAAGGAAGGAAGGAAGGAAAGAAGGAAGAAGGAAGGGAAAAGAAGAGAAAGAGGGAGAAAGGAAAAAGAAGGGAAGGAAGGAGAGGAGGAAAGAAGGAAGGAAGGAAAGAAAGAAAGGAGAGAAGGAAAGAAAAAAGGGAAGGAAGGGAGGAGGAGGAAAGAAGGAAGGAGAAAGAAGAAAGAAAAGAAGGAAAGAGAAGGAAAGGAAGGAGGAAAAAGAAGGATGGACAGAAGGAAGGGAAAATGAAGGAAGGAAATAGATTGAAAGGAGGA